CTCAATGTGCGAGTTTTGGCTGGATCGTGTGGCATTCCTTGGCCACATCGTGATATCGAGAGGCATTGAGGTGGATCCCAGCAAGATCGAGGCCGTGAGCAAGTGGGATACGCCAAGGAGTGCAGCTGATGTTTGTAGTTTCTTGGGATTAGCAGGATACTACGGAGGTTTATCGAGGGCTTCTCGAAGATAGCCCAGCCACTAACCAACCTTACGAAGAAGGTCGTGAGGTTCGAATGGAGTCCTAGGTGTGAGGAGAGTTTCCAGGAGTTGAAGATGAGACTCACTACCGCGCCCGTTCTATCCATTCCCGACCCTACTTTAAAGTTCACCATCTATAGTGATGCTTCGAAGATGGGTTTGGGATGTGTTCTTATGCAGCAGGGAAGAGTCGTAGCGTATGCTTCGAGGCAGCTGAAGCCTCACGAGCAGAACTACCCCACTCATGATCTAGAGTTAGCTGCAGTCGTTCACGCCTTGGAGATTTCGCGGCACTACCTCTATGGAGGCAAGTGTGAGATTTTCACCGACCACAAGAGCCTAAAATACATTTTCACTCAGAGGGAGCTGAATATGCGGCAGCGTTGGTGGTTGGAACTGGTCAAGGACTACGATTGCACGATTAGCTACCATCCGGGGAAAGCCAATGTGGTAGCCGATGCCCTTAGTCGGAGGAGTTATGGCCAGTTGTCCTGTCTCTTTACCAAGCAAGATGTTCTTCTTCGGGAGTTCGAGCAGCTACGGCTAGAAGCAGTAGAGCCACTTTCGACAGCCAGGGGTGTGTTGACTACTTTGGTTGTAGGACCGACCCTTCGTGAGAGGATAGTCGCCCAGCAACCGAATGATCTCTTCCTTCGCCGGATGAAGGAGTTGTCAGAAGCCGGTAGAGTTGGAGGGTTTGCGGTCGCATCTGATGGGGCCTTGGTCTTCGAGGGTAGACTTTGTGTTCCGAAGGTGTGGGAATTGCGAAGGGAGATTTTGAGAGAGGCCCATAGAGCCCCGTACACCGTCCATCTTGGTAGTTCGAAAATGTATCAGGATCTGAGGAAGTCTTTCTGGTGGCGAGGTATGAAGTGGCAAGTGGCAAGGTTCGTGAATGGGTGTCTGGTATGTCAGCAAGTGAAAGCTGAGCATCAGAAACCGAGAGGGAAGTTGCAGCCACTTGAGGTCCCCTTGTGGAAGTGGGAGTGCATCGCCATGGACTTCTTGGTGGAATTGCCGAGGTCGAGGGCCGGACATGATTCCATTTGGGTGATTGTGGATTGCCTTACCAAGTCTGCTCACTTTCTGCCAGTCCGGACGACTATGACGGCTAATCAGTATGCCGAGTTGTTCGTGGAAAATATTGTCAAACCTCATGGGGTCCCTGTTGAGATCGTGTCCGATCGAGACGCGAAGTTCACTAGTCAGTTCTGGAGAACTCTGCACCGGGCCATGGGGACGAGGCTGGAGTTCAGTACAGCTTTTCATCCTCAGACAGATGGTCAGTCGGTGCGGACGATCCAGTACTTGGAGGACATATTGAGGGCTGTGGTCTTGGACCGTAGCCTGACTTGGGAGAGTGTCTTGCCTTTGGTCGAGCTGACTTACAACAATAGTTACCACTTTAAGATGGCCCCATTCGAGGCTTTGTATGGACGTAAGGTCCGAACACCCTTGTACTGGGATGAGGTCGGGGAGAGGAATATTATGGACCCGGAGTTTATTCTTAGGTCCGCAGAGACAGTTGAGGCTATCCGGAAGCATATCCGGTCAGCCCAAGAGAGGCAGAAGGTCTATGTCGATCGGAAGAGAGGTGAGCACGAGTATGCCGTTGGCGATCATGTATTCCTGAAGGTTTCGCCTATGAAGGGCGTGATTCGTTTCGGGAAGAAGAGGAAGCTCAAACCGCGTTATATTGGGCCATTCGAGATCCTTGCCCGAGTCGGGAACTTGGCTTATCGGCTGGCTTTACCACCTAGCTTGTCGGGAGTGCATGACGTGTTTCACGTCTCCATGTTGCGGAGATACGTGCATGATCCCACTCACGTGGTGGACTTCGGCGAACTGCAGGTTGAGCGAGACCTTACCTACGAGGAGGTACCGGTAGCTATTTTGGACCAGAAGGTCGATCAGTTGAGGAACCGGGCAGTGAGCTTTGTGAAGGTGCTGTGGATCCGACATGTCGAGTCGGAGGCGACTTGGGAAAGGGAGGCCGAGCTTCGGAGGCGGTACCCGAACTTTGAGTTTTGAGTTCCCTTGTGTTTTATTTCGCTTTCTAGATTTTCATTTTCGAATTCTGAGGACAGAATTCTTTGTAAGGTGGATAGACTGTAATACCCCGTTTTATCGTGGATTAATTGGGAATAAATATTGAATATTGTTATTATTAATTTTCTTATTTATTATTATTATTATTATTATTATTATTATTATTATTATTATTATTAAATGCCAAATTTCTATTATTTGTTGTTATTAGTAATATTACTATTTCTAATATTACTTGTCTAATTGTTATATTATATTTAAATAAATAATGTGTTTAATTGTGTATTATTAATAAAATAATAAAATGTGTTATATATATATTTTGGTCCGGTTTTATTTTATTAATCGTGCGATTTAACCGAGCCCGAAAATTGATCCAATTTCTTGAAGCCGCGTTAGAACCGAGCTTTCGACCCGATGAACCGAATTTTTGACCCGGTCCGGTTTTCCTCCCTCACGTGCGTGTGTGTGCGTGTGGAATTTTCTTTCCAAACAAGAAAATAAAACCTAAATTATCTAAGGTAAATATATATGTATATATGTATAAATATATGCGCACCCTCAGCAAAAAAAAAAAAAAGGTTCTCCCGCAGCCTTTGATCGCCCTCAATCTCTGCTCTCTTCCTCGCCCGCCATCATCATCACCAAACTGATCATCCCATCTCAGCGCACTGTAACTCGCAACCCCACCTTCATCTTGTTAACATCATCATCTGTCATCGCCATCATCGTTCACTTGCAGCAGACCATCGCCACCTCTGTCAACCATCATCGCCGCCGTGCTCCTCCGCGAACCACCGCCATCACGCCCTTCTGTTCGTCGAGCACCACTGCAGGTCTCCATCGATCTTCTCTCTACTGCGCGTTAACCGCGACGTCCCAGCGACCATCGCTTGGCTGCCCTCTCTACTCGCGAAGCTCCACAGGCAACCTCCTCCGTCAACGTTCAACTTCGACTTTCGGGACCCGTCGAGTTCCGTCGAAGAGCCTATCGTGATCGTCGAGTTCCGTCGGGTTCCGTCGGAGTGTCAAACGAAGCCGACGAGTTCCGGGCACCGCGATCAGTTGCAAGCCTCCATCACCATGTTGGTGTTATATACTTAAGCTTTGCTTTAGTGGATATTACACTTGTTATTCCTTGATGAATGAGAATTATGTTTGGTTAAATAAGTTCCACGTTCTGTGTTTTGCATGTAGATAAGTGGGTCGTCATCGGTCGTACCGAAGATCACTATATCAGTTACTTGCGAAACAAGAATCGTTGGTTCACAACCTAGATGGAATTGAACAACCC